GTATCTCCATTGAACTAACTGATAACGCCCTGGTACCCTCCAGAGAGGTCGGTTGAGGTCAACATCTATCTAAGAATCAGCTTCTTGAGCATCTAGTCCAACCAGTTACGGATTCTCCTCCTGTTAACATTGTTTAGCCGTATTTATCCATCTTGTCCACATGGGTAATGTGAGAAGTTTTGTCAAATGTTTTGCTAAAATTCACATTCTTTCAGCCTGCCATAATCTTTGTTGGGCTAAATTTTTTTAAGTAAACGAAATTTGGCCAGCAGACTATCTGTCTAGCAAATCTTTACCCACAGGATCCTATCAACTCACTTTCTTTTCATCCAAGACTATTAAAGTCTGTTTTCTAAGAGAATATGAGAAGGAACTGACTGTGCTTATCTTTCTATCATGAACTTTAAGATAAAGTGAAATTTATCCCAAAGTTCCCATGTCTTTCCCATCACCAGGCAGTTCCCCTTGGGGGTCAGGCTGGGTCCGAGTGGTCCTCCCCACCATCTCTTCTGCCACCAAGCCCATCAGGAGGGCACCCTGAAGGCCACAGCTGCCTCTCCAACACAGTCTCGGGGGTGCCTCCTCCCTTTCTTCTCCAAAAGGGCTGCCTTTGGTGTGATCCCATAAGGATGTTGCTTCTGGTCTTCTGCCTTCAGCCCCCTCAAGAAGTTGGTCTGTGAAGAAATTGCCTTTGAGCCTACCCAGCAGGGACCAGAAGGCGTGCCTTCACCAAACTCCTTCATTGTTCACGTGGGGGACTGGCCCTTGATCCCAACAAATCCCCACCATTCTCCAAGTCTGGGAGTGAGGATTTCACCAGAGGAATGAGGTGGTGGGGAAGGGGCCGTAGGTGAACAGGAGGCACCTCTGAATGAGACCAACTTCCCGCCACTCAGAAATTCTATGGGATGTGGCTGTGTCTTCTACTCCCTTCCTCTAGTCTGTTTTAGAAGCTAAGATGGGGCCTTTGGGAAATGCTGTGTGTGTGCGTGTATATGCATATGTACACACATACATACACATATATAATCTCAAAACATTTATATATTCTATAAACATGCATGCATTCGATAAACATGCATGATGTAAAGGTGTATTTTTATTATACACACCACACACACACACACACACACACACGCACACACACACACACACCCCAAAAATTCTATTGTTAGTATCCAGATTTTACAAGTCCCTTTTTCTGGGTCTTTTTCTCCTCAATTTTTTTTACAGCCCTCCAGGTCCCAAGGGTCAAGCCCCTCTCCCGTCATAGCCCACGAGGCTGAAATGCAAGCAGGCCACCATGGTACAGAAAGCCAGTCTTCTCTTTCTAGATCTTTCTTTCTCAAAGATTTGACCATCAGTTGGAAGGAGATAGGAACACACACTCCCAGGGGGACAGAGGGAAAGTACTGAGTGGCGGGGTGTTGCTCTGGAGCAGGGGACATGCTGTGGGACTGGGGAACGATGGTGCTCGCTCAACATTATGAACAGACCAGATGCCGCTGAAACATTCACTCTCAAATGAATTTTGTATTGTGCGAATTTTAGCTCAACAAAATGTACTAAATTGTTACTGATGTGCTAAAAAAATTTTTTTTTAAGTATCAAAATATCCTTCCTCCCTGCTGAAATCTCCCCAGTTCCTAGAGGTGATGCCCAGACTCCTTCCAGAAACCCGTGGGTTTTGGCAACGGCTCACCGAAGCCTCGGGGGGTTAGATGCACGCCCCAGGCTGAGCCCCCCTGCTCAGAGCTATTCTGGGGGAGCTACCACCGTCCTGCCCCTGCTCCCCTGAGCCCCTCCAGACCCGGCCCTGGCCAGGGACATGGAAATGCAGCGGCGACTCACACAGGGACTGCCGGGAAGCCCACTGCCGGAGAGGAGACGTGGCCGGGGACCCAGTGGGGGGTGGGGGCGCCTCTGGGAAGCTCGCTGCAGGAGAGGCACTCGGAGCGGACCTCAGGAGGACAGTCAGGTGTCAACATAAGGAGTGTGAGGGGAAGGGCCTTCTGTGAAGGGATTGCAGACCCTTATGTGCCACTGAGGACCCCCCTTGGGAATCCTGCTGTGCGGGGCGCTGGTGTGGCTGGCAGCCTCGAACAGGACAGAGCCACCTCTCTGCCTCCCTCCTGCTCTCCGTGCTCCCCGGGCCTCTCATTTCCGGAGGGGGGGATGATCAGGCCGTGGAAAGTCACCCCACTTCCCCTTCAGGACATTAGTTCTCTAAACACACACAGATGGGGACGGAGCACGGTCAGCAGTGACGGGGAGTTCTTGACCTCTCTTCTCAGGAACCCGCAGACACTAATACGGTCTTTAAAACAGCAAACCTAGTGAGTGACTGATCAGGGGTGCGCGGGGCCGGGATGTGTGCAAATGTGCTCGCCGAACACTCCTCGCCAGGCGTGAGATCAGCGGGCTTCCTGCGCACAGCCCGTGGGGCGAGCGGCGGGAGCTCAGCCGTGGGCCCCGCCATCTGTCTAGCTGGTGGAAAGAAGTAGGAAAGAGTGTGTGTGTGTGCAGAGGTGCGTATGGAGAGCACCGTGGCCCTGGCAGGTGAGAGCCATGGGTTTGTGAGATTTTTTTTTTTTTTAAGATTTTATTTATTTGACAGACAGAGATCACAAGTAGGCAGAGAGGCAGGCAGAGAGAGAGACAGAGAGAGGAGGAAGCAGGCTCCCTGCTAAGCAGAGAGCCTGATGCGGGACTTGATCCCAGGACCCTGAGATCATGACCTGAGCCGAAGGCAGAGGCTTAACCCACTGAGCCACCTAGGCGCCCCGGGTTGTGAGATTTAAAGGAGAGGCAGAGTAGGCTGTGGCTTCCAGCCCTGGACTTGGGATGGGCAGGAGCAGGCTGGCGTGTGACCGGTGAGCCGGGAGGTGCAGGGAGGAGCGGGTTTGGGGAGAAGGTGGTGGCAGGTCTGACTGGGCTCTTTGCACACACGCCCACTTCCTGGCCCGGAGGTCTGATCAGAAGGAGCTGGTGGAAGGGACGCCTGGAGATTTCGGGAGGACGTGGTAATGGCCATCAAAACCTGAAAGGTCCTGGTCTGGAAAAGGCAGATTTGTTCTCAGAAATTCCATTTATACCCAGTGGAAGGGCCAGAGGATTTGGCATCCCTGCTTCCTACCTGAGTGCCCTCAGCAGGCCCCAGTCTGTGAAATGATGGCGGATGCTGAGTGGCACCTGCCCGTGCATCTCTGTGGCACCAGGAGAGGGTCGGGTGTCAGGCGTCAGAGTGCCATGTGGGATAGGCCTTGGCCCACACCCGGAGTTGGGCAGATGGTGGCAATTGCTGCGAAGGGAGTGTGGCCTCTTCTTGGACCTTGGGTGGGACCCCGTCCTGTCCCTCTCTAGAAGGCATGTGGCCTTTCAAGGGTTGTCTGTTTAGGGATGGGTTTTCCCAGCCATGCATGAACAAGCACGCACGTGTACCCCAATGTCACTCGTATGTCTGCACGTGTGACGGGCTGAAAATTACCGTGGGCTTCCTCCCCACCTCCTATGGAGAAGTGTCACACTTCCTGGCCCTTAGCCAGCATTCCCCCAGGCAGTCCCGGTAGCTCACAGGGGCCCAAGATGGGGAAAGGCCCCCAACTGTGGATGTCTATGCCCGGGCCCAGGCCCAGACCTTAGGCAGCAGCCTTCCAAAGAAAGGAGGCTTCCAGGGAAACAGCTGGGGCCAGCTGTGCTGCTTCCTTTTCTTCAGACTTACCGGAGGAGGCTTCATTTTTCCTTTCCTGAAACACATTATGATCATTGCTTAAAGTGAGCTACTGGGCTCAGCTTGCTGATTGGAGAGGATTAGTCCCAGACTTCTCCTTTTCTTATTTTTCTCCTGTCTTTCTTCTTTTTTTTTGCTTCTGCAACTCTTCTTTCTTAGGACTGGAAGAAATTGCCGCTTGTGTACCAGAGAAACCCCCATCTTAGATGTTGGGGGAAGCAGAGAACATGACTTCCCAGGGAACCCTCTCACCAGGCCTTTCCCGTGTCCTCCCAAAGCAGAATGGGCAGGAAGACCATCTCCCTGCGGGTCGTGGGAAGGGGACTGCTCCACTGACCCCGTGTTTTCATTTGCTAGGGACCCATTCCCGTCTTTCTCTGATGTCCCCATTCGAGCAGCCTGGTGCCTTGAGGCCACTGTGAAGCCCAGGACTAGGAGATAGAGAGGGAGCCATGCTGGCTGTGTGTGGCCCCCCAACCTGCTCTGTGCCTGACACTGCACACACCTCCAGCTCACACGCACCCCTATTCACACATACCCCAGCTTGCACGCACCTCCAGCTCGCACACACCCCTGCTCACACGCACCCCTGCTCACATGCATCTCCAGCTCACACACACCCCTGCTCATGGGCCCTGCCATCCTCCTTTAAAAAAAAAAAAAAAAAGATTCTGTTTATTTGAGAGAAAGAGCACCAGAGATAGCAAGAGAGAGCAGGAGCAGGGAGGACTAGCAGGGAGCCCAACACAGGGCTCTATCCCGGGCCCCTGATACCGACTAAGCCACCCAGGCGCCCCCCGCCATCCTCCTTCTAAACATAACGTAACCTTACTGAAAGATTCAAACCCAGTCTTTCTGACTCCAAAGTCACTCTCTCCTCCAACCTAGACCTTCCCTATGGGCCTGGCAGCCTGGGGCATGGCGTCCTTCTCAGTGGAGAGAACGTCTCCCAAGCATGCTCCCTGCCCACCTCCCAGAGCACAGCTTTGTCCCCCCTCCCCCAAGCCACACGCACCTCTGTCCTGCTGCCAGCCCCTCGGGAGCACCCCCACAGGTCAGAGAGCAGACACTGGGCTCTAGAGCCCTCTCTGCCCCCACAGCTCAGTCTGCACTTTGGTGAGGCGCTCAGGTGTGTGTCCTGGGTGCAGGGCTGGAGCCCCTGGGGTCCCCACTCACCGGGGCCCACGTGGGCCTGTCCTGCCAATATCTCCGGCCTCCGAGCACCGCCAGCATCCGCAATGCCATTTTCTCTGTTTCTGTTCTTTTACAGCAATGGACGGTGTGCCTTTCATGATCTCAGAGAAGTTTTCCTGCGTTCCAGAAAGTGTAAGTGTTCTGCGTGATGGTCCTGCGTGATGGCCGCCCCAGCCCGCACAGCCCTGCTCAGCACACATGCCCCCCACCCTCGCGCTGTCCCGACCACAGGGCTTCCTGTCCGGGCCCCTCCAGCTAACACTGCACACAGTGGGTGCTCGAGGAGTGACAGAGGGCAGGGATGAGGCGCGGGGAGGCAGCAAGATGGACAAGCAGACAGATCCCAATTCGGCCACAACAGGGCCTTTTTGTTTCAAATGTGACAGTAAATGGGGCTGAACTTCACTAGTTGTGAACGTTCTTGGTTTCCAAGTTCAACGTAATTAATTTTTGTTCTGTTTTATTTAACCGTGATAACATCTTGCTGAAAGAAGCCTGCCTCCGTTTTTTCACTGTAATTGGCTGGATTCTGTGATAACCACGCTCTGCTCTCAATCGGAGGGAGGCCTCTGAGCGGCAGGGCTGGCTGGCAAGTGTGTGTGCCCAGAGCTGTGGTCGCCCACTCGCTGCAGGCCTCCGGGGACCCCACGACACGCACTAGCCAGCCGGGGCCCCTGAGCCGTCTATGATGACGCAGGGGCGGCATGAGCTGGCCGGGCCCGCAGGCCAGAACCCAGACTGAGAGGGGCGCCCACTGCAGGCTGTGCACTCCGGGGACCTTCTCTCAGACGGCCCTGCCCCCCCGGGTGGGAATCCCCCGCTGACCCCGCCCTCCCCACCCAGCTCTTCAGGCCCGGGCTGTGCTGGCTCAATAAGCTTGTTCCTGGGTCTTTTTTATCCTTTTTGCAGAAGTTTGTCATGAGCAGCTAATAACCATGAGGGCCCCGGTTCGGGCACCAGCTAAAGAATCCTTTAGTGTATTTCATGGATCCAGCTTAAAACCGCCCGGCTTGCGATTTGACCTGCTCTGTAGTTTCCATTTTCATGAAATGTAATAGGCCTCCTCTGAACCCTTCTGGTAAGCAGCTTAATCTTGAAAAATGCTCGTGACGTGACACGCGGAGCATGAGTAACTTCAGCCGACGCCACTTGGCCGCGTTGCCATGACGACGCTGGCGCCTCTCCCGCGCGCTCCCTGGGAGAGGCTGCTCTGTCCTGCGCACCAGCTCCAGTCGGGAAAGTTTAGTGGGGCGGTTAGAGCCTAATGATGCAACAGCTGGGCCTCTGCTGGACGGCGGGCAAGCGGCCCCGTGCTCGCCGCTCGGGCTGGCAGCCGGAGAGAGCCACACTGCGTTGTGGCCACTGGCAGAGCAGTCCCGGGAGCCGAGTGGCTCATGCGGTGGCCCTGTCCCAAGGTCGCCCTCGCGCACGTGCCACTGTCCTCTCAGCAGCTCGGGCCAAACCCAATGCCGTGCACCTCCATGCGCTTCTCGAGATCCCCCTCCCGGTGGCACAGCCCCAAGAACCCAGCCACACTGCTCTGAGCGGGAGAGGAAATGAGGCCGTGATTTAACCCACAGCTGCCCCGTTCTGAATCCGGGTCCGTGGACTGGGGAGCTGGCTTTTCTCGTGCACCTGGCAGGACATCCCTGCGGGCTCGGCTCCACTTGGGCTCTGGGCTGCGGTTCAGAACCATGAGGGCCTGGGGTTTTGTCCGGGACCCCAGTTTCACCTGCTCGTCCCCAGCTGCCAGTTGCTGGCTCCTGTCGGGAATACAGAATGCTGAGGGGCTCCGAGCGGGGGCCTCAGGGACGGGCTGCCACTGACCTCTTACCTCTCACCGTGCATCCAGCCCCGGGCTCTCTGTGCCGCCAGCTGACTTGTTGGCTCGTGAACTTGGCTTTTCCGGCTAGCTGGGGGAAAGCCAGCATTTTCAGAGAAGGCTCCCGTCATCAGGAAATTCTAGAAACACCCATTAAAATGCAGTGATAGCATTTTTCACCAGCATTGAGTTCTCAGATGACCATCGATGGGCGGTTCTTTCACTCACCTTCCATCTTCGAAGACCCAGAATTCCCGCCCCCAGTTCCTTAACCCAACCCACTGCCAGATGCCGCAGTCACGGCGGCCGTGGCCTCGCCTCATGCCCCTCCATCCCTCCAGCTGCAGAGGGAGAAAACCGGCTTTTGACCCAGGTAGGGAGAAAGGAGAGACGGAAGTTACCAGTGCCTGGCTCCGTCTCTCAGGAGGGCTGGGACCCTCCCCGGGGCTGCCCACAGATGACTCAGCAAGGGTCCCCACCAGAAGGGACCGGCCCTGCTGTCAGCCGGGTTTTCTGGAACGTTTGCTTACGTTGCTCGTAATCACTAGAGTCACAGTGGTGGGCTTCCCTTTGAAAGAGGGTAGAGAAAATGCTAGATCGCATAGGGTGGTTTGAGGGGGTCACAATTGTTATGCATAAAAGCAAATGTGAAACAGCATTTTCCAACCGTTTAAAAGGATTTGATCTGTATTTGCAGATGCAGCCCTTTGATCTCTTGGGAATTACCATCAAATCTCTGGCAGAAATTGAAAAGGAGGTAAGCATGCCGCCCAGAGAGCGGGCAGGTGGGGCCTGGGACTGCTTGTTCCCCACGGGGTCTCCGGTCCCCCGTAGGAGTCTGTCCCAGGAACGGGGAGGATGTAGGTGTGCGGTGCCCCTCGGAGGAAAACACTTCCATGTCCCTCAGGTTTATTCCCTAGAAAAAGAATCTCACGTTGATTATGTTCACTGCTTCAAGTCCGTCATGACCGACACTTCTTTGTGTTCTCTGAAAGCCAGGCTGTAAAATGCCCCCGGTTGTAAAAGGTGGGAGGTAGGGGATGGGCACGCAATCTCCTCTCTCTCCTTCTTGGGTTCTACTATTTGCTGCCAGTAGAGGTTTGGGAACATGTCCAAGGAGCCTCTTAATGATTTAGAGCGAGGATCAGGATCCGTTCCGTTGTGCCCGAGAAGCCAGACCCCGTTCTGCCGCCTGGTTCCACATAGTTTGGATGTTTACATAACCAAAGAGAAAGAAATCCAGGCCTGTGGTACTGTGACAACTCTTGAGGAAGGAGAGCTGAGATATTGGGATGAACCCGGAGGTCTGACCCGCCCGTGTCATCCCTGTTTTCCTAAGACAGCGTTAGAGTGCGTGTGTGTCGTGTTCCATGTGTAGACGGCCGTTAAGCAGTCACATGCTTGCAACCAGCTCTCCTCTGAGAGGAACATTTGTCTCAAAGATGGAAATGGTAGAACCATTTCAATATTCTCAGTTCCTCTGGGTTTTCTCCTGTATACACAGCCAGCAGAAGCAGGTCGCATTACTGAAAGATGGCCGAAACCAAGGAAAATTGAATCGACGTAGTACAACAAATTTCTAAACCTGTCATAGCAAAACAAGACCAAAAATTCCCCCTTTGTCTTTGATTTTCAGCAGATCACAAAGACCAACGTGAATGTCATTTATAGGTTGGTGGGGGGCGTGGGGGGAGCTGTAAACTTGGGGGAAGGAAGGGCGACTACCTTAGAGATCCCTGTGCCCATGGAGCTCCGTGCCAGCCCTTCTCGAAAAGGTGCCACAGGTGGTTCTGCAAACTGCCTTTGTGTGGGGGTCCCACGTGGGGCGGCCCCAGGGAGTGTATGCAGAAGGCGTCTGAGGGTGGCTTCCTCTGGCTGCTGGGGGGAAGCGGGGGCATGGCCTGTGACCACTATAGGATGGACAAGGTCATACAAACAGACGTCCAACCCAGCTCCACGCCAACAGGGGACAGGTCACCCCCTCTCTGTTTAAAGCTGGGATAATGGGAGAACGTACCCCCTAGGGTTTTCAGGAACACCACGCGAATGTGTGTAAGCACAGGGACCCGGCCCCATAGGTTGGAAGCTGTGAGGTGGCACGTGCTGAACCAGGGAGGCAACCATCTGGATGTCACACTTTCCCTTGCCCAGAGTCGTCCCTGCTTTATTTTAGCACCTGCTCTGTGCTCACCTTCCTCTGGGGCTCTCCCTGCATTTTCACTGGCTCCCGCCGTCCCCCGCCCCCACCGTGGACCAAGTGGGTGTCATTCCTTCCCATCTCGTGGGGCAGAAAGTGAGACTCTAGAGGTGAAAGGTCTTGCCCAAGACAAGACTGAGACCCAGTGCTCACACTCCAAACCCTGCCCCTTATGACTTGAAGCCTGCGGCTCCATGGGCTGCTGGGTTCAACGGGGCTAGGGAGCTTGGTCCACCTGATGTGGGCTGGGCCTTTGAGTCACCGGGATGGGGCAGACTCTGGGAGGCCTGTAGGGCTCAGAGCAGCCTGCAGAAGCCACCAGAAACCTGAATTCGAAAATGCCACCCAAACACACGTTTTGTTAGAATGTGCTGTCTTGATGTCCAGCACTCTGAGCAGAGCGTGGAGGGGTGCAGAGGGCTTCTGGGCTCGGCTGGCCCAGGCTCGAGTCTCAGCAGCACCACTTAACTGCTCTGAACCTCCGTCTTCTCTTCTGTAAATCAGGAGAGTAACAAAACGCTGTGCACCCAGCGCTTACGGGGTCTGAGTCGTGTGGAAGGGCCCAGGACGGGGTCTGGCCGCGGCCACAGTCGTGCTCGCTGTTGTCGCTGTCTTCAGGACGGGGGGTGAGTAGGCGCTGATCTGGCCCAGCTGCCCACACATAGCTTTATTTCTTGTCCCAGTCATGGGCTGAAAACACATGCCTGTGTTCTCTGCTGAAGGACATTAACGTGGAGTTACAAAGCGGGGACGTGAGGAAGGGTAGGAACCTTACGTGGGGTGTAAAACCATCACAGATGCCGTCGCAGGCAAGAATGCTGCAGTTTTTCATTTAATCTGAGGGTTTAGAAGTTACTGGCCCCGGCCGTCCGCGTGCATTTCATGGTGATTAGTATGTTGATATCACGCTCTGGTGAACGGGCTGCAGCTTCGGCAACAATGGCAGAGAATTCTCTCCATAAATAAACATGAAATTCCCCCCTTTTTGCCACTAAACTCAGCGTTGCTCATGGAGTCTGAGGCCGAGGAGAAGCCTGGCCCGCTGCCCCCCTGGCCCCGGCTCTTGGCTCCTGAGTAGCTGGGAGTCCCTTTGGTCGGGATGATTTTGCTCCTTTCCGTCCCCAGCAAGTCTAGCTGCCCCTGGAGGGGGTGGGGGGCGTCTTGGTGGAGGACTTTGCTTGGCTTGCTGTGTATTATTTTGTCATATTTTACACGATTAAGCCAAACCCCTTCCCCCAAAAAGGCAGGAGACTGCCTCTGGGTTCCGGGGCAGTCCCACCACCAGAACCACGTCTCTGCCCACCCCGAACGCCTCCTCGAGCTCTCGGCTTCCTGAACAGCAGGGAGAGGCCAGTGTCCATGGAGGCTGCTTTGTGCTGGGAGGGGCTTCTCTCCTTTACCCCCGCCCCCCCGTGTGGACATGCGGCGTTGCCTGAGGTTCCCCCAGAGACCTGGGCTCGCATGGTCTCAGGTGAGAAGGGCGCTGAAGGAAGCCCTGATGACAGCACGGTGTTCTGTCTGCCCACAACTGGGCTGGGGTTGCTTTCCTGCCAGCTTTACCTTTACTTACCATGCTCTGCCCGGGGTACGATTCTGAATTTAAGCCCGTGCCCCATCACCGCCGTTCAACCACAGGGACCGTTCATTCCGTGAACGAACCCGTGACCCTGCCAGCCTTGACTTCGGTGCTTAGCCAGCTGCTGGCACAAGCAGGGACCACCCCCCACGGCAGGGACCCGCAGTGCCCCCCAGCCTACCACAGCCAAGAATCGCCCGAGTAAAGATGGAGAGAGACCAGGTTTCACCCCAGGTGTGGTTGGGCAGTGCACCTCCAGCCCCCCGATATCAGCCGAGCTTCAGGGAGCGTGAGACGCAGGGCCCTGCCAGCAGGAGGACAGGACAAGGCTCACTGGCTGTGTGGACCAGAGGACCCTGCCACGTTGGTGGGTACAGCCCGGGTGTTTGCTGGGACATTCGTTGACCGTGTAGACTGTGGAGGAAACGGCATAGGCTGGAGAGGACACAGTCTGCGTCTGAATGCATGGGGTTGCACGCCAAATCTGCTGTGTAGGTCCCCCGGCTGCCCCCCCACCCCACCCCGGCCATGGGTCTGATGGCCCCAGCCTGGGTGTAGCGCTCGTCCCCGTAGCTCCCGTTCCCACCTGCATCGTGATTCCCCAGAAGCGGCGGCTTGTAGCCGGGCTTAAGTTTCTTGAGAGACCCCGCAAGGAAGGTCATGTTTTAAGGTTGTGATTAAAATCCCACTACCTGCAGTCAAGCAGACTTGGGGAGAAAAAATTCTTGACAAACATGAAACCTCTCACAGCTAAGGGATGCTCTGAGGTGTGGGGGGTCGAAGTGAACAAAGCTGTGGCTGATAAAGAAATTCCCACGTGAATGCGGTTACTCTCCTGGCGCCGATGGGGCCGGCAGCCTCCTTCCTGCCCAGCCTGTCCTCCCCCCGCCGTACTCCCTGCCATCCGCGTTCATCCCCGGCTCGTGCACATTAGTCCGGCGCATGGAACCCTCCCCCCACGGGGCTGGGCAGCAGGAGGGTGGTGGTGACCCCGGGGGACGGTGTCCCCGTGAGACCCTTATTGTCCTCCCCGCGGCCCCAACAAAAGCTGCTCTCTGTTCAGGAGTCAGGAAAAGTGTGATTTCGCAGCCGACCCCTGTGATGAAGCATCTCCTCTCGGAGTGAGAAGATGGGCATATAAATATTCTCCGTCTCTGCCGCTCTTTATTTCCCTTGTAAGCAGTTGCTCCATTTCTCCATCTGATGGATTCCCCGTCACAGCCAGGGTGGGAGCACCCCAGCTCCCTCAGCCCAGGCTGCAGCTTCTAAAATCCTGCCCGTGTCTCCGTTCCCTTTACCGTGCCTGTTTATCCTGCCTCCCCGCCCACAGCCCCGCCTGCCCTGTGGCCCCGCCACCCCCAGTCTCGCCTCCCCTGCAGACCCTCCATCCCTGGACTCAAGGAATAATGGCCAAGAGACGGCGGCCTTGATTGTAGATTTCACGCTGCGCGCATAACAACCGGCAGGCCTTTTAAAACTAGGAGCCGGCAATGCCTGCAATGAAGCGGCACCCAGCATCCGCGGTGCCCTCCAGCCCGGTGCAAAGCCATCTCCCCACTACCACCGACCTCCCACGGAAAACCACGACGCTCACCCTCCCTTCCGTGGGTGCCGTGCTGAAAACTCAGCCTGGCGAGGGAAGCGTCATTACCCCACCGTGCTTCCTGGTAGGACACAGCCTCCATTTTCAGTCGACTTTAAAGCTGTAAGACACGGGAGAGTCTAATTAGTAAAGGGACGATCTAATATTAATCACTCCCTGAAAATTGACAAGGGAGGCAGTTCATTTAACCACTTAATTGCTACAGGTTTTTATGGGCTGCTGTTTGCAGACTCTTTAATGAAGAAGTTATAAATCTAAGGGAGCTTAAAATTTTAATTTTATACCTAAATATTTTCCTTGTTCTCATGTTTGTAGTCAATCCTCAAGAGTGTAGTCACGTGGAATGTTCTTTAAATGAACATATTTGCTAACTGGCGTGAT